CCAGCTTGGATCGAGTTCTCGATACAGTCAGTCTGTAGAGCTTATCTCACTCAACAACAACAACAACCCACTCCAAGCATAGAAAGCCTCCGTTATTTGTAAGCGGGGCTTGTTGTTGTAGCTCACCGTGCTTGCTTGCCGCACCAGTCTTTCCATCGCCATGGTGCCCAACTCTTCACGATCTCCTTCACAACCGTTTATACATAGACAGCCAAAATCCTATGTAGCCACCGAGCTTGCCAGATTTCTTTCTACCAAAATATGTGTACAACTTACTATACAGGCCTTTCAAGCCGTACAAACAGTTCTACAAGAGCCACACCTGACTTGCCGCACATGCTCTCACGAGCCCACCCACCACCATCCATCCATGGCCCTCTGATCATGAACCGCGATCCATAAGGATGCTCGTCAAACATGTACAATCCTCACAATCAATGAAACTGGGATTCCGATCCAGTACATTACATACAGCTCTACTATGATCCATACAGCTTCCGCGGAAGCATGTATCTGCGTTTCCAAGGAACCACATCCTCCTCATACATACATTGTACCAGAGCACCTCTCATCTTTCGTCCGTTTCATCCGCCCGTAGATGGTCTGGTCTCCGGCTGGCACGAAGCCTTGCGGGGGCGACTTCTCCTCCGGAATTGCTGCGCGAGAACATTATCCTTTTTTCATGATTGGGTTTTACTTTTTGGCTTTGCTGAGGGAACTTGATTGTCGTTCCTTATCTACATAACTCCAGTCTGACCCTCGTGAATCTTATCGTAAGCCCTGGGAACAAACTGATCGACATCTCATTCTCACACATTTATATGATCCGCCGTGTAAAATTCTCCCACACCAAGTCCGGATGACTTGGGTGAACACACTGTCACAGGTCTTCATGGGTTTCCTGCGACAGGCTGGAGGGGACCTCCTGGCAAGAGATCTCCACAGCCTGCTGATTGATGGAGCATGTTATAGTGAAACAACTCCTTGGAATTCTACCAACCTGCTCTTGGATTGTGGACCACCATGAGTATGTAAATAAGTACTAGACATCTGTTGGCAGTTCATGGAAAAATTGATTGGCAATATATTTGGAATGGAAAGGGAGACACAGCTTTCCCTGGTTTGGGTCCAAAGAACCACAGATTCTGTGGATCTGTATTGGTCCAGTAACAATACCCATATTACTGTCATACACACCTTTTGGGTGTTTGGAATGTTGTTAGTGGAAATCAATTTTTTTTTGGCAACCCCCCCCCCGCAGACTTTCAGAGTGAGGGGGCTTGGTGGCCTGGA